GAAGAAGCCCGCCTGAAGGAAAAAGCAGCATAAGGTTCAGAGCAGAGCCCTGTGGACGCGAAGATATAATAGAAAGCACAACACATGGCATTCATAAGCCACTTAAATCTTTCCTGGCTCTGAGATAACAAGAGAAATGTCTTACACATTTTATTTTTCAAAGATGAAAAACATGCACAAAGCCCAAATGACCCTCTATTTACACTGTTGATTCTGTATTTTGGAAACATACATTATGACAAACTACTTTAAATATTTTCATTAGGACTGTAAATAGTCTCTTTACAGCGGGGGGGGGGATAAGTCAACATAATACTGGAGAACGTATGTTGTAGTACACGAGTGCATGGCACTTTTTCAAAAGTTAGGGAACGGAGGGCAGAAGAAACACTATACTTTGCAGATCCTAAAAGTTCATAAATAACATCTTCAGGCTATTCATTCAACAAATGAGATACTGAGACTGGACGGAGACAAAGACCACGAGGCCCTCTCAGCCCATATCATGTTTTACAGACCTTGATCCACACCCAAATCTGGCCCAGTGTCTGTTCAGTAAGTGGAGTTCTACGGGCCGATAGCCCCTCCCCACTGCTGCCACACCCTGCACGGTGCTCACAGTAAAACAGCAGAGCTGAGAAGTAGCAGCAGGATTGTACAGCCCGCCAAGACTAAGAGTGTGCCAACTCTTGAGACACAGCAGAGATAAGCCTGAAGAAATACTATTTTGTAAGGGACAGAGTAGTATCTTGGGAGATTGCAGCGAGTTTAACATGGAAGGTGATGAGCTGAGGATAAATATCACCCATAAAGGCACAGGGTGGGAACCCTATTTGAAGACAACTGGAACAAATATAACTCTGTGTATAGGCTAAGGAAGATGTAGCAAGTGAGAGAATGGCAGAGATAAGACCAATGAAATAAGGTGAAGTTACCTCCTCAGGTTTAAACTCAATACTACTATTAATTGAAGGATAAGAACTTATCAAAAAAGGTAAAATACTAAGATTTATGAATAAGCTAAATTTTTTGAAATTAGAGTAGCTTCCACATTAAATTTTTTTTACTGATTTGTACTGACATGATTTTTCTGAATGAGAGAAGAGTGAAATTATATCATTTTATATATATATATATATATATATATATATATATACACACACACACACACACACACACACACACACACACACACATACATACATACGCAGGACCATGGAGAATCTTGAGCATCCAAATGGACACACTACACATCTGAGTGCCATGCAATTTATCATGCTGTCACAGGAGGAAAGGAAGACCGAGATATTTAACTGTAGGAAAAAGGAAGCAGATCATCACAAGGAATGCGACTGATGATCCGATACAGGTTTTAGGAAGCCCAACTCCACTGATCTGAGAAGGGCAGAGACCCTACGCAGGCAGAAGTCTGCTAACTGCCACCTTGGTGGTAAGGAAGGCCATGTGTAAGACAGAAAGGAGTACAAAGGAAGGAGGCAGGTGACGTGTGTGCAAGGAGACTGGACGGTACACAAAAGAGTCTCTTCCGTAGACAACTGTGGGGAAGATGACATTTAGCACTGACGATGGATGAAATCATAGGAATGGACGAAATGTCTTCAGGGGTATGTAGCGTATGTGGTAAAGAAAAAAACAACAGAAAAGACACAGCAAAACTTCACATTCAACAGGCAGGAGAGCAACAGGGGGAAAGAGACCAACACGATGCAGCAGAGGACGGGAGCAGAGTTTCAACAGCTCCTCACACAGGTGCTGTGACGTATTCCTTAGATCATATGGTGACAAAAAGCAAGACAATGCATGGAGAGAGACAGCAACCCAATGTCTGTCCACAGAATGAAGGGCCACATGCTATTGGAGCTTAAGAGGGCTCTGAATTCAGAGGGCTCTGGGTTGCACTCCCAGCTCTGCTATCTTGGGGGAGTTAAACTTCCTAAGCTTCAGTTTCAAGCTGTATCACATGTACAGGTTGAACATCCCTACTCCAAAAATCCCAAATCTGACACTTTTCCAGCACAGGACACCAAAAGTGGGAAATTCCACATTTGACTTTATGTAAAGAGTTGCAGTCTAATGTGTTAACCTTCAGGCTGTATGTACGAGGTATACCTAAAATATAAATCAATTCTGTGTTGTAACTTGGTTCCCATCTCTGTTCTATCGTTATAGTTATGCAATTTACTCCAAATCTGACCTCCTCCAAAAAACTGAAATCCGAAACCTTTCTCATCCCAAGCCCTTTTTTTTTTTTTTGAGACAGGGTCTCACTATGTAGTTGGAACTCACTGCGTAGCCCAGGCTGGTCTCGAACTCACAGCAATCCTCCTGCCTCAGCCTCCTGAGTGCTGGGATTACAGGTGTGAGCCACCACGGCTGGCCCCAAGCATTTTGGATAGAAGATACTGGATCCTTAAAAGTACTTAGCATTTCATAGGTGCATGGTGAAGAATAAATGAGATAATGCAAAGTACTTGCAAAAGTGCTGGCACACCAGACGTAACCGAATGGCGGCAGATTTATTAAAATCATCTCCAGGAAAGGAAAAGTGAATCATTGTTAATAATTCCCCAAACTTTGCTGCTAGAGCCAAAAGGGTGAACTGAAATATCAAGGACACAAAATACTTTTATTAAGAGTATAGCACATCTTAAGTGGAACCTTTATGTGAGATTATACAGCAATATAAAGATGATAAAATATAATCAAACAATACGAATGGGTCTTAGTGTGAGAAAAATGAAATTAAGGGATGCGGTAACAGTCCATATGAAAGATTTCCAGTCCCGCCCAGAGAGGACTGAGCAGGAGACGGAGCCCTCGGGCACATGTTGCGAGGGTGATACTTCAGGGTGTCTAAATCGCACCTCCTAAAGACATTAAACCTTGTTTCAATCCTAAGTTTATTAGTAATAAGGCTTCCAACATTCCTTAACACTGATACTGACATCTTGACTACTCTTTAGAGATATTCTAAAATATAAAGTACCAGAACCCTCTAGTATTTTTGGTAATTCTGATTTTGAAGCTGGAGAGTATAGAGTGAGTGATCTGATTTTGAGGTACTCTTGGGAAAGTGGCAAAGGCACGAAACCAGACCTTGGGGTCGTGAAGCATCCCAATGAAATAGCTCAAGTTCACCTTGGACAGCTCTGGATGCCCCCTACTTTCCTACCTGTGGTTGCTATGGTGAAGTCAAATCAAGCTTCTGTGAATAATCCCAAACTTTTCGCCCTAGAAAAGCAAAACTAGCAGGCCATAAAAAAACAGCAAAGATGAGAGGTAAAGTTTAATAATGTTACTGTAAAAATAACAACCACATCTACCTGTCTCTATATGCTTACAGAACTAAGCTGCTAAAAAGTCACACTTAATATTCAACAATAAGGTAACCACAATATTCAAGTAAGGGAACTGTCAAAACCTGTTTATGGATTAAAAGAAACAGGATCCATATCATCATTCCACAGTTTTAGTAATCTTTTTTTTTTTTTGGTACCAGGGAGGCAGCAGCACCACTGAGCTAAATCCCCAGCTCATTCTACAGTTTTAGATGACAGCAGCCACAACCCACTGCCTGTCTTGTCTCAACAGGATTTGTTTAAGGCGTTGTATGCATGCCTGTAACTCCAGAACTCGGAGCCACAGGCAGGAGGATGGTAAATTCAAGCTCAGCTTGGGCAATCAGTGACTCTGCCTCAAACAAACAAACAAACAACAACAACAACAACAAAAAATGAAAAGGGTTGGAGACAGCTCAGTGCAAGGGCTTTGGGTTCAAGCCCATTCTGCCAAAAAAAAAAAAAAAAAAAAGTTTTGCTACAAATTAGTACAGATCCAACTATTCCATTTTTATGGCACACCTACATCCAAAACTCACACTGATCAACTTCCTCGGGGCTATGTCCCTGTCTTTCTGGCCTTTAAGCTCATAGCTTCCCTGTGCTGCCAAGCTCAGGATACAGATTAGACAATTTTAATACTATAAGGAAAGACAGTGTATGAAAATCACTGTGAAAAAAAATCCCACAGACACATATAACACAGCTCAAAATCAAACAATGTTTTTGCTTACTCATTTGTTTTTTGTAGGAGTTAGAATTTAATACCCTACTGTGCAACTACATATAATAAAGCCAAAGACATTAGTCCTCAGGAAAGCCCACTTAGTATAACCACAGGTGTGCACACAAACACCACAGGCGAATTAGATGATGTGCTAACAAAACAAAACAGCTCCCGTGCCCTTTTAGTAACATGAAACACGCCAGGGAAACCCAAGTACGAAAGGAGGCAGTCTCTAGGTCCTTGCACTTCCACTCCAGGTGTGATTACTGAGGCGACACAATGTCTGAGGGATGAATAGTGAATCACATTATATAAGATCCCCATCACCAAAGATTCAAATTGTAAATCATTTGGTTTTAGTTAGCTTATGCTAAAGTGAAAGATACTGAAAACTCAGACCATGCTTCAGAAAGTGCAGTGGTCTTACTCCTTACACAAAGTGGCTTAGCTCAGATTTTCAATTCCAGGTCTGAATTCCTGGGAGATACTTAATAACAACAAAACCAACTCCAAAGGGATCTGCCCCAGTTTTTCAATACTCTAAGAAAAAAAGTGGAATAATTATGAAACTACTATTTTGTAAATGCTGTGGAAAGAAGAACCCAAGTACATATCAATTTTACTGGAGAAGTTAAGGTTTAGAAAGACTTCGCTTTACCTAGTGTTCTAGAACCCGGGGAAGCAATCATGGAACATTCCTCTCCAGATTGCAAAAAATTTATATGAAAGAACGACATACTGCTCTGTAGAGTCATGGGCACCAACACTCTGAGTGCCCCTTGGAAATCCATTAATTTGGCAACTGTCTTTACATATCAAAGGTTTGGCGCCTGGAATCTTATTTTGCTCCAACCATCAGATGACTTCTGCTTAAAATCAGGGTGAGGCGTCAACTTTGGGGCCCAGACTCTCACCTGCTGTCAAGGCTAAAGACGACAAAATGCAGAAGTGCGACTCGGGCGTTCCAGCCAAGCTCACGGCAGGGCGTGTCCAGCTTGTGGCGGACCCACCCTACCGCCCGAGCCTCCTGAGATGACGTCTCCCGTCACACCTTCCCCGCGTGTCAGGTGCCCGCAGGGAGCTTCTCCGGGGCGGCAGGCTCCACCCACCGCACCCTGCTCGAGCTCGTTCCCGAGAGGCCCCGCGACCGGCCCCGACCAGGGCCTCCACGAAGC